AGCAGTTCACATCATAGTAGATAGGGGGCAGAGCGGAGCAGTTCACACCATGGCAGATAGAGGGCAGAGTAAAAGACTAGGGAGAGAAAAACAAACAAAAAACAAAACAAAGTAAAGACACATGGCAGGGGTCCACTTCCTCCAACTATTCCATCAAGGAATGAAGTGATGCATTAGACTAGACCCTTTATGATGAAATTGTATCTGGAAATACCATCTCTCTTTCTCCCCCAGCCCGCCCCTCTCTCTCTCTCTCTCTCTCTCTCTCTCTCTCTCTCTCTCTCTCTCACACACACACACACACACACACACACACACACACACACAGAGAGAGAGACAGAGAGACAGAAAGAGGCAGAGACAGAAGGAGGGAAGGAGGGAAAGGGAGAGAGACAGAGACAGAGAGATTAACTATCACACATGGTGTAGTCAAAACCTAAATCTAAGGTTGGGCCAATACCTGCATTTCTGGAGTCTACTGGAATTCACTGTGGTCCTAACCTCTGCGCCCCACCATCTTCATCCATGGCTTCCTAGTTGATGGGGTGCTAGACTCCTGGAACCAAAACAGACATCTCACAACCACACAATGCCTCTTTGTTAGGGAATATTCCCTATAATACAGGGATAATAAATGAATGCTCAGATTCTTTTAAGAATTCCAACAATACAGTAAAAGATGGCAGTGTCATGTGACATCGCTTTCTTTCCACTGCAGTCTAGATGACGCAGCCTTTGATGCTGTGGAGTCATTCTAGTCACTTTAAAGCAGTGGGAAGCAGTTTGCAGTTAGAAATCAAAGGACTTCGGATAGGCTGGACTCGAGGGCTGTTGGGTCCTGGCGTGGCTCTGGGCACCTCTTCACCTATCTCTTTATCTGTACCCCAGGGTAAAATATCTTACCCAATGAGCTGGGATTTGATAGAAATAAAGTATTGAATTTAGGAGAGATGAATTTCAGAAAGTTAAAAACACACATGTGCAAGAGAATATTTTTGTTCCTCCCTGCCCTCAATAATATTGCCTTACCTTCTCATTTGAAAGCTGTGCATGCTAATTAACTAGCTAAGGCTGCTGTCCTGAGCATGCTATTCCAGAGACATAGACAAACACATGTGTGCCTTTCACAGTGTCAGAGTTTATGGAATGACATTAAATTCACAAGGTGCAGCAGTTTGCTAGATTATCCCACCTACTTGGGTCCTTTTTTTTTAATCCAATATTTTATTTATTTACATTTCAGACATTATCCCCTTTCCTCATTCCCCCCTTCCTCATTAATCCCCTATCCCATTCCCCCTCCTCCTACTTCTATTATGGTGTGCCCCCACCCATCCACCCATTCCCGCCTCTCTGCTCCTGAATTCCCCAACACTAGGGCTTCCAGACTTTCAGTGACCAAGGCCCTCCTCTTCCACTGATGCCTGACAAGGCCATCCTCAACCAACTATACAGGTGGAGCCATGAGTCCCTCCCTTTGTGTTCCCAGGCTGGAGCTTTAGACCCTAGAAGCTCTGGTTGAGTATTTTGTTACTCCTTCTAAGAAGGACCAAAGCACCCACACTTTGGTCTTCCTTCTTCTTCTTGAGCTTCATGTGGTCTATGCGTTGTATCTTAGGTATTGTCAGCTTGTGGGCTAATATCCACTTATCAGTGAGTGCATACCATGTGTGTTCTTTTGTTATTGGGTGACCTCACTCAGAGTGATATTTTCCAGTTCCATCCATTTGCCAAAGAATTTCACGAATTCATTGTTTTTAATAGCTGAGTAATACTCCATTGTGTAAATATATCACATTTTCTGTATCCATTCCTCTGTTGAAGGACATCTGGGTCCTTTCCAGCTTCTGGTTATTATAAATAAGGCTGCTATGAACACAGTGGAGCATGTGTCCCTGTTGTATGTTGGAGCATCTTTTGGATATATGCCCAGGAGTGGTATAGCTGGGTCCTTAAGTAATAATATGTTCAATTTTCTGAGGAACTACCAGACTGCTTTCCATAGTGGTTGTACCAGCTTACAATCCCACCAACAATGGAGGAGTGTTCCTTTTTCTCCACATCCTTGCCAACATCTTCTGTCACCTGAGTTTTTGATCTTAGCCATTCTGACTGGTGTGAGATGGAATCTCAGGATTCCTTTGATTTGCATTTCCCTGACGATTAAGGATACTGAAATTTTCTTTAGATGCTTCTCTGCCATTTGAATTTCCTCAGTTGAGAATTCTTTGTTTAGCTCTGTACCCCATTTTAAAATCAGGTTATTTGATTGTCTAGAGTCTAATTTCTTCAGTTCTTTGTATACCTTGGATATTAGCCCTCTATCAGATGTAGGATTGGTAAAGATTTTTCCCAATCTGTTGGTTGCTGCTTTGTCTTATTGATGGCGTCTTTTGCTTTACAGAAGCTTTGCAGTTTTATGAGGTTTCATTTGTCAATTGTTGATCTTAGAGCTTAAGCCATTGGTATTCTGTTCAGGAATTTTCCCCTATGCCCACGTGTTCAAGGCTTTTCCTCATTTTCTCTCCTATTAGTTTCAGTGTAGCTGGTTTTATGTGGAGGTCCTTGATCCACTCGGACTTGAGCTTTGTACAAGAAGATAAGTATGAATCAATTTACATTCTTCTACATGCTGACCTCCAGTTGAACCAGCACCATTTGTTGAAAATGTTGTATTTTTTCTACTGGATGGTTTTAGCTCCTTTGTCAAAGATCAAGCGACTGTAGTTACGTGGGTTCATTTCTGGGTCTTCTATTCTATTCCATTGATCCTTCTGCCTGTCTCTGTTCCAATACCATGCAGTTTTTATCACTATTGCTCTGTAGTACAGCTTGAAGTCAGGGATGGTGATTTCCCCAGAAGTTCTTTTGTTGTTGGGAATAGTTTTCGCTATCCTGGGGTTTTTGTTATTCCAAATGAATTTGAGAATTTTTCTTTATATCTGTGTGAAGACTTGAGTTGGAATTTTGATGGGGATTGCATTAAATCTGTAGATTGCTCTCGGCAAGATAGCCACTTTTACTATATTAATCCTGCCAATCCATGAGCATGGGAGATGTTTCCATCTTCTGAGATCTGCTTTGATTTCTTTCTTCAGGGACTTGAAGTTCTTGTCATACAGATCTTTCACTTGCTTTGTTGGATTCACACCAAGGTATTTTATATTTATGACTATTGTGAAGGGTGTCATTTCTCTAATTTCTTTCTCAGCCTGTTTATCTTTTGAGTAGAGGAAGGCAACTGACTTGTTTGAGTTGATTTTATAACCAGCCACTTTGCTAAAGTTGTTTATCAGGTTTAGGAGTTCTTTGGTGGAAGTTTTGGGGTCACTTAAGTATACTATCATATCATCTGCAAATAGTGAAATTTTGACTTCTTCCTTTCCAATTTGTATCCCTTTGACCTCCTTGTGTTGCCTAATTGCTCTGGCTAGGACTTCCAGTACTATATTGAATAGGTAGGGAGAGAGTGGGCAGCCTTGTCTAGTCCCTGATTTAAGTGGGATTGCTTCAAGTTTCTCTCCATTTAGTTTGATGGTAGCTACTGGTTTGCTGTATATTGCTTTTACTATATTTAGGTATGGGCCTTGGATTCCTGACCTTTGCAAGACTTTTACCATGAAGGGGTGTTGAATTTTGTCAAATGCTTTCTCAGCATCTAGTGAGATGATCATGTGGTTTTTTTCTTTGAGTTTGTTTATATAGTGGATTACATTGATGGATTTCCATATATCGAACCATCCCTGCATTCCTGGGATGAAACCTACTTGATCATGATGAATGATTGTTTTGATGTGTTCTTGGATTCGGTTTGCAAGAATTTTATTGAGTATTTTTGCATCGATATTCATAAGGGAAGTTGGTCTGAAGTTCTCTCTCTTTGTTGAGTCTTTGCGTGGTTTAGGTATGAGCATAATTGTGGCTTCATAGAACAAATTGGATAGTGTTCCTTCTGTTTCTATTTTATGGAACAGTTTAAAGAGAATTGGTATCAGGTCTTCTTTGAAGGTCTGATAGAACTCTGCACTAAAACCGTCTGGTCCCAGAGTTTTTTTGGTGGGGAGACTTTAATGACTGCTTCTATTTCTTTTGGGGTTATGTGACTGTTTAGATGGTTTATCTGGGCCTGATTTGACTTTGGTAACTGGTATTTGTCTAGAAAATTATACATTTCATCCAGATTTTCCAATTTTGTTGAGTATAGGCTCTTGTAGTAGGATCTGGTGATTTTTTAAATTTCCTTGGTTTCTGTTGTTATGTCTCCCTTTTCAGTTCTGATTTTATTAATTTGGATACTGTCTCTCTGCCCTCTGATTAGTCTGGCTAAGATTTTATCTATCTTGTTGATTTTCTTAAAGAACCAGTTCCTGGTTTTATTGGTTCTTTGTGTAGTTCTTTTTGTTTCTGCTTGGTTGATTTCAGCCCTGAGTTTGATTATTTCCTGCTGTCTACTCCTCTTTGGTGTGTTTGCTTCTTTTTGTTCTAGAGCTTTCAGGTGTGTTGTCAAGCTGCTAGTGTATGCTCTCTCCAGTTTCTTTTTGTAAGCACTTAGAGCTATTAGTTTTCCTCTTAACACTGCTTTCATTGTGTCCCATATGTTTTGGTGTTATGAGTCTTCATTTTCATTAAATTCTAAAAAGTCTTTAATTCCTTTCTTTATATCTTCCTTGACCAAGTCATCATTAAGTAGAGTGTTGTTCAGTTTCCACGTGAATATGGGCTTTCCATTGTTTTTGTCATTATTGAAGATCAGCCTTAGTCCATGGTGATCTGATAGGATGCATGGTATTATTTCAATTTTCTTGTATCTGTTGAGGCCTGTTTTGTGACTAAGTTTATGGTCTATTTTGGAGAAGGTACCATGAGGTGCTGAGAAGAAGGTATATTCTTTTGTTTTGGGATGAAATGTTCTATAGATCTCTGTTAAATCCATTTGGTTCATAACTTCTCTTAGTTTCACTCTGTCTCTCTTTAATTTCCGTTTCCATGACCTGTCCACTTCTGAGAGTGTGTGTTGAAGTCTCCCATTATTATTGTGTGAGGTGCAATTTGTGCTTTGAGCTTTAGTAAGGTTTCTTTTATGAAAGTGAGTGCTCTTGCATTTGGAGCATAGATGTTCAGAATTGAGAGTTCATCTTGTTTGAGCTTTCCTTTGATGAGTATCAAGTATCCTTCCTTATCTTTTTTGATAACTTTGGGTTGAAAGTCAATTTTATTCTCTAGCTTGTTTCTTGGGACCACTTGCTTGAAAAATTGTTTTCCAGCCTTTTACTCTAAGGTCGTGTCTATCTTTGTCACTGAGGTGTGTTTCCTCTAGGCAGCAAAATGCTGGGTCCTGTTTATGTATCCAGTCTGATAGTCTACGTCTTTTTATTGAGGAATTGAGTCCATTGATGTTAAGAGATATTAAGGAAAGGAGATTGTTGTTTCCTGTTATTTTTGTTATTAGCAGTGGCATTGTTTGTGTGGCTATCTTCTTTTGGATTTGTTGCAAGAAGATTACTTTCTTGCTCTTTCAAGAAGGGTATAATTTCCCTTCTTGTATTGGAGTTTTCCCTCTATCATCCTTTGTAGTGCTGGGTTTGTGGAAAGATATTGTGTAAACTTGGTTTTGTCATGGAATATCTTGGTTTCTCCGTCTATGGTAATTGAGAGTTTTGCTGGGTATAGTAGCCTGGGCTGGCATTTGTGTTCTCTTAGGGTCTGTATGACATCTATCCAGGATCTTCTCACTTTTATAGTATCTGGTGAGAAGTCTGGTGTAATTTTGATAGATCTGCCTTTATATGTTACTCGCCCTTTTTCCCTTAGTGCTTTTACTATTCTTTCTTTGTTTTGTGCATTTGGTGTTTTGATTATTATGTGATGGGAGGTATTTCTTTTCTGGTCTAGTCTATTTGGATAGAGTTCTGTGGGCTTCTTGTATGTTTATGGGCATCTCGTTCTTTAGGTTATGGACGTTTTCTTCTATAATTTTGTTGAAGATATTTATTGTCCCTTTAAGTTGGGAATCTTCACTCTCATCTATAACTATTATCCTTAGGTTTGGTCTTCTCATTGTGTCCTTGGTTTCCTGGATGTTTTGGGTTAGGAACTTTTTGCACTTTCACTTTTCTTTGACAGTTGTGTCAATATTTTCTATGGTATCTTCTGCACGTGAGATTCTCTCTTCTATCTCTTGTATTCTGTTGGTGATGGTTGCATCTATGACTCTTGATCTCTTTTCTAGGTTTTCTATCTCCAGGGTAGTCTGCCTTTGTGATTTCTTTATTGTTTCTACTTCCATTTTTATGTCCTGGATGATTTTGTTCAATCCCTTCATCTGTTTGGTTGTATTTTCTTGTAATACTTTAAGGAATTTTTGTGTTTCCTCTTTAAGGGCTTCTACCTGTTTACCTGAGTTCTCCTCAATTTCTTTGACAGTGTTATTTATGTCCTTCTTAAAGTCTTCTATCATCATCATGAGAAGTGATTTTAAATCTGAATCTTGCTTTCCTGGTGTGATGGGGTATTCGGGACTTTCTATTTGTGGGAGAATTAGGTTCTGATGATGCCAAATACCCTGGGTTGCTGATGCTTATGTTTTTGTGCTTGCCTTTTGTCATCTGGTTATCTTTAGTGCTACCTGCACTCACTGTGTCTGGATAGAGCCTGTCTTTCCTATTATCTTGGTTGTGTCAGAACTGTTTGGTGTCGGTGTTGCTGCCTGGGTTAGAGCTCCTGGGAGCCCTGCCTCCTCTGGGTTTTGTGAGATTGGGTGCAGAGCTAAAGCCCAGGATCCTCTCAGTGCTAGGGTGCAGACAGGAAGGAACCAGTGCCCCGGGCCAGGAGTAAATTCCTGGGTCTCAGTGGGTCCCAGTTACTCCCTGTTTGGGGCAGGTGTTGCTGTCTCCTTACCTAAGATACTGCCCCAGTTAGAGCTCCTGGGAGCCCCACCTCCTGTGGGTTTTGTGGAATTGGGTGCAGAGCTGAAGCCCAGGATCTGCTCAGTGTTTGGGTGCAGCCAAAGCCCTAATTGGGTCTTAATTACTAATATTTTTATTCCATATCTTAATTACTAATATTGACTGTCACACCATCCATTGGAGAACACAGTTAATACATCTCTGCATTTGTCTACATGTGGTTTCCATAATGAATACAAGTTAGAGAGAGTGCAGGAGAGTTCAGAGGTCATAGAAACTGAGATGGGATGCCCAGACGGGTGGCGGGGAAGATGCTGCTGCTGTATAGAAATCAGGCCTCGGGAGAGACGTGGTTTAGAATAAAGATGCAGTGAGCGGCAGAGAAGGAAGGGCAGAACCAGCTCCAGAGCAGAAACAGAAGGTCCAGGTCCAACAGGCGAACAGGAAGGCATGGCCAGACAGACAGAAGCTGTGTGGGGGCTCCATCAGCACTGGGAACCAATGACAGTTAGCTGGGGGTTCTCTGGGGGTTCCTTGCTGCACACATAGGGTTTCAGATGACAGGTTGGGGCGGGGCTGTGACATCTCAGCGAGAAGAGGCATTAATCTTTTGATGGGATCCAGGTGAGGGAGTTCCCCTTTCTTTGGTCTGGGGTGTCCAAGAAGTTTTAGAGCCTTGGTTCCCAGTGTAATTTTAATAAACTTGTGTGCCTCTAGCGTCTCAGTTCATTCTACTACAAAGAACAAGTCATTTATTAGGTCTGTGCTGGGTGGCTGATGAAGTCAGATGGTGGCATGCATGCCGTGTGTGTGTGTGTGTGTGTGTGTGTGTGTGTGTGTGTGTTTGTGTGTGTGTCTCCACCCTGACTTGCACTCTCAAAAGAAAGTAAAGCCACCAGCAAAAGGCTGTACAATGACGTTCCCAAGGGCAAAGTGCAGCTGAAAGAACAGTTTTACACAGTGTGGAGTCACACAGAGCATAGCTAGCCTGATCTTCATGCTGCCTTCTCCCTCTCTAGTGGTGAAGAAGCTGGCCGATTTTGAGTTGCCTTACACTAGTCTTCAGAATTCTGAAGTGGAAAACTGTAAGATTGGACTCAGGAAGTGGTAAGTACCTGTAGGGTCAGAACTTGCCAGTCTCACCATAGCTTGAGAGACAGGTGTGTGTTGGGGTGGGGAATGGGGGCTTGGAGTAAAAACTGGCAAGACACTCCTGAGTGTGCCTTTGCTCTGGGCTAGATAGCTGTAGTAACTGAAGGAGTCCTTCATAGTTACAAGCAGGTCTGATGACTGTTGGACTGTGGCCTGCCTGGAAGACAGAGGGTACGACTTTGGCAATTCACACTGAATTTGACTCCTCGTGTGCATGGCTCACATTCCTAAAGCATATGTACCAGGGCCACCCATATCCGTAGATTAAAAGGGCTAGCTCTGCTCTGTGTGACCCCCACACTGTGTAAGACTGTTCTTTAGGCTGTGCTTTGCCCCTGGGAACTCCGCTGTACAGCCTTTTGCTTGTGGCTTTTCTTCCTTTTGAGGGTGCAAGTTAGAGTGGCCACACACGCATGCACACACACACACACACACACACACACACATGTGCGTGCGCACGCCGCCATCTGTCTTCATCAGAAAATGCTGTTCTTTTCCTAGGAAGAGGAGTCCTACTAAGAACAAATACACAGAAAATCACAGGGCAAGGCAGCTTGTTTTCCCAGCCGTGTCCCACAAGCTCAGCTCGTGGTTATTACTGTGACTGTGTTGAGTTGCTGCTCAAGTTAGCTCTGTTCAGCTTTGTTTTTCTGTAGTCTGAGGACACAAACTTAAAAAAAAAAGATTCTTGATATTTAGAGATAGTGATTTACTTGACTCAGTGCTATTTTGTTGCATCTAGTCTGTGGCTTTGAGTTCTGAAGGGATAGTCCCAGCTACTCAGAAACTTTTGAGAAATCATTAAAACCTTGTGTCTTAAGTACTTGAGAAGGAGGAAAGGACCCTGCTTCCACTAAGGGTTTAGACAGTAACTCTTCTGATGCTGCTTCCAACACTGTGTGTCCGAGCATGGTAGTTCCCAGAAGCAGAAAACACAACCTAAGTTCCAGCTTGCCAAGTTCTGTGAGCTCACTAAGCCTCAGTTTACATGTTTGTAAAATAGGAGAATAATCCTAGGATTGTTGTGAAGATTTAGAGCAATCCTGAATACTCAGTAAAATCTGGTCATGTTTGTTACAGTCATTGGTAAGAACGGTAACATCAACAATAACAGAAAGTTCCTGGGCTGAGACTTCTCAAGTTTACACTTTCCCTGAGGGCTTGAGATCAAAAGAGTGTGGCCAGACTTCTCTCCCACACCTAGAAGCCTGCATTGCACATTAGGCTGTGCCTCGGTCTTCCTTAGATAGGTGCATCCCAGATGCCCAGATGCAAAGGCAAGGTAAGGACCCGCCAGAGTCACAGGCCAGCACCTCCGCCCAGCAGATGGCTTTGATCATGAATAGGAGGAAAAGAGCCACACTGCTGTAGCCGGAGCTGAAGGCCAGATTTCCACAAGGGAACGACATAACACCCTGGGGTGTCTTGCCCCCTCTCCAGAGGAGGCCTTTCCAGCGGCAACAGGGAAGCCAGCTCCAAGTTGCATGATTCTGACTGGTGGGCCTGGCTGGGTTTGAAGGATTTGTCTTCATCCAGGACTTGTCTTGAGTGTGTCTCTCCACTGATTATAGGGTTCCCTCTGGATCAGAGGGTGTGGGCCCTGGCAGCTCAGAGCCCTATGCCAAAAGGTGTCTCAGGGCTGTCCAACTGTGATGCAATTCTCAGTCACATAGTGCCTTCTGAGGTGTGTGAACATTAGCTAAGGGGAAAGTTAGTTGGAATGTTTCGGTTGCTTTTCTCCCCCAGAATGAGCTGGACCTTCAGATCCTGTTTTCATCCTTTCCTGGGTCTGAGCACACTGTTCTGCGTGCAAGAACTGCTTGCCTCTGCCTTCTCAGTTGTACATCACCCACATCTCCTCTTTCCGTTTCTGTCCATCCTCACTGGGCTTACACACAGCGAATCTGTTTATCTTGGTGGTTCTGATCTGACAGATACACATAGATCCCCCAATATGTGCAAGTCACTCTGCTGAACCCAGAAGGGTATTTTTTAGGCTGGAATGCTGGAGCCTTCACATCTGGTGTCAAAGCAAGTTGATCAAAGCAGTGATTGGGATAAATTGAAGTCACTGGCGAAGCACAGAGGAAGACGTTAGCACAGGCTGGGGAGCAGGGCCCAGGGAAGGGGAGTCTGCAGAGAAAGGAGGATGTTGGGGCAGTGACCTTCTAGGAAAGAGAGGAGGAGGAGAAAGGGGAGGGAGACATGGCTGGAGTGTAGCGTTGGTGTGGGGTGGTTAGGGATAGATGGGAAATGAATGGAGAAGGGAGCCACAAAGTGCCTCAGACATGAGCCAGAAAAATGATCCAGACCCCATAGCCTGAGAGCTGACGAGCTGCTCAGGAAAAGTCTCACCAGGAGGAACATGAAGCAGGAGGAAGGATCAAAAACCTGGTGTGGGGATGCTTTCTGAGCAGCTCCAGAGGCAGAAAGGGGGGGCCAGGTGCAGGGTGCTGAGTGTGGATGGGCAGGTGGGGGGCAGGTGCAGGGCAGGTGCAGGACAGGTGCAGGGCAGGTGGAGGGCAGGTGCAGGGCAGGTGCAGGGCAGGTGCAGGGCAGGTGCAGGACAGGTGGAGGGCAGGTGCAGGGCAGGTGCAGGGCAGGTGGACAGGACAGGTGCAGGGCAGGTGGACAAGGCAAGTGGACGGGACAGGGAAATGGAATCCAGGACTCACTGACTGAGTGTGAACAGAAATGCACATCATTTTCCTAAAGGTGTGCATGTGTGTGTGTTCACATGCACGTGTGTGTACATGTGTAACCTTTATTCTAGAGCTCACCAGGTAAAAGCTCACCATAAATGAAAAAACAGGACACAGAAAGAATAAAGGAAGAAATCAAAGGCTAAGCAAGTAGAGTGGTATAGTTTTATGAGAGAAGGGGACCCAGTTCCCAGGGCAGAAGGCTGTAGTTTTCCAGAACATCTGGCTGTGTCTCTAGGCCTATGTAATCATGTCTGTAATTATGCAGGTACCTGGACCCAGCTCTGGACTCCATGTTGATGGACTGCAGGGCAGCTGGAGACTTGCTGTACATGCAGGTGAGGTTGGCAGTGGGTGTTGTGGTTGGAACTACATGTGTTTCCCTAGTAGTTGAGAATCTATGTAGAATAGGCAAGACATGAGACAATCTAGAGACATTTCCAGGGACTGGGATGGGAGTGGAAGGACAACGTTGTTTAATGGGTAAGCAGGGTTTTCTTTTTGTTTTTTGCTTTTTTCTTTTTGTGTCGTTGTTGTTTTGTTTATATTGCTTGGAATAGGATCTCACTATGAAGCCTAGTCTGGCCTTGAACTCTTGATTCATCTCTCCCAGTCTCCTAAGTGCTGGCATTAAAGACACGAGTCACTATAGAGCGTTTGTTAGGAACTATAAAAGGCTTGGGTGTAGACAGTGGTGACGGTTGTACAACATTACATGCATGTGAAACCACTCGATTATATACTAAGGATGGCTAGAGAGGCGCTGGAGAGAAGGCTCAGAGATCAAGAGTACTTGCTACTGCTGCCGAGGATCCAGGCTGTTCCCAGCACCCATATGGTGCCTCACAACTGTAGTTTTAGTTTCAGGGGTTCGACATCCTCTTTTGGTCTCCGTGGGGACCAGGCACACACAGGATGTGCATACACACATATAGGCACACACGCATACACAAACAAATAAAGCAGGTGTGGTATTGCACGCCTGTGAGTCCAGTACTGGGAAGATAGAGGCTGAGGAATTAGGAACAGTTCACTCCAGCCTGAAATACATGAGACCAGTTGTTTTCATTGGAGTCTGTTGCTACACTTGTTATGACTTAGCATTCTTTCATGTATAAAGAAGGCTTTTCCTCATGGTGTTAATTATCCTAGATAACTTTGAAAGCTATAATAACCTAATATTTGATTATACACCAACTCACTTTCCTATTTCAGGGTATCTTATACTGCACTACCTCACAGAGTAGCTGTAGGTTTGGGGTTGAAAGTATAGGATATCACCAGATACATTATCAGTATCAGTGTTTTGTGTATAGAAAGCTGCATTTACATCTATTACATATGATTATTTCTACATTCATATTCTGTCATTATCCCTTAAAAAGATAGTCCTTCCATCAAGATAAACATATTCATGTTTAATTTTCTACTTTAAAATATATTCATTTCTTGAAATCATATGTGTGTATTCATGTCTCTGTGTGGGTTTGTGCATGGAAGTGCAGGTGCCTGTGGTGGCCAGAGGCATGGGATGCCCTGGAGCTGGTGACACAGGTGCCTGTGGTGAGCCATCTCACATGAATGTTAGGAGCTGCCCTCTGGTCCTCTAAAGGACAGCAGTATTCTTAACTGCTAAGCTATCTCTCTCACCCGTCCCCTGCCTTTCAGCTTGGTTTTACACTGTGATCTCTTAGGAAGTTATTTGACTGGATGACAGGACTTCCTTTGCCAAGAAGTCTAATTGTCCCAAACTGTGGAACACTCTTCCTACTCAGTAATTTGATTGACCCTAAAACAGCTGTGGTGGCACTTTCTGTTAATCCATGCACTTGAGAGGCTGAGGCCAAAGGATCATGAGTTTGAGGCCAGCCTGACCTATATAAAGAGTGCCCAATATTGAGACCCCGTCTCAGAACAAAGCAACAACAAAAAAGCAATCTTTATAACCTGTCAGATGGTTATGTAGAGCCACTTGGGTCTAGGTTTTTAGCTCTTTATACAGATTAATTTATTTCTACTAAGGTTGATAATTATATACTTATGCTTTTTTAAGGCAGTGCAGGACATTGAGGTAGAATGGATGAAACCCACACAGGCTCAGAGGGAGGAATTAAAGGCACTGCAGAAGAAAGAGAATCAAACGAAGGTGAGTTAAGCTTGGTACTGAGAGGGTCCCTTAAAGTGAACTCCAGACACAGCCTAGAATCAGCTGTTACTGTCGTTCACAACCCTACCCAGCACTGAAACTGAGAGTGGCTCTGCTAACCTCTGATTCTAAAATTAGTAAAAGTTTGCTGTGTAAGGACTCATATATACATATATATATTTGTATATGTATACATATATATATATATATATATATATATATATATATATACAGTCTTTGGCCAAGTTAATTAATATAGATCCTCCATATTATTCTATAACTGCAGAGTATTCTCCTTTATGATTATGTTACCATTTAGCCAGCCAGTTTTCTTTTATTGGAAGTCAAATTGCTAACAGCTCACGTTCCAGGACTCTAATTTATACTTCCTCTTCTTGTGTGAGCTTCAGGGTTTGGAACAAATATGCTAGCTGGCACCACTTCATCTTATGCACACATGCAAGGAGGCTGAACAGAAGATGAACAAACTGACTCAAAGCAATTTGACCTAAACCAGAGATGAGCTCACAATGGCTCATGAGCCACTGTTGTTACAAATAAAGTTTTATTGGCACACAGAGGTACTTATTTATGTGTGTTCCTGCTAGTCACTTTTGTGCCACAGTAAAAGAGGTGTGGCATTGTAGAGACAGTAGACTCCTAAAGCCATTGCTGGAGACCACATCCAGGACCTCACACATGTGGACAAATGTGTGTGTGTGTGTGTGTGTGTGTGTGTGTGTGTGTGCTCACGGCCAGAAGAGGGCATCAGATTCTTTGGAGCTGGAGTTTCAGACAGCTGTGAGCTGCCTGACCTGGGTGCTGGACATTGAACTCTGTCCTCCTTGCCAGATCAGCAAGTGCTCTTACCCACTGAGCCATCTCTCAGCCCCAGGTCTGATGTTCTCAAGAGAATGAGTTTTCTAGTGGATAATCCTTGCAGATTTCTGTCCTCTGGTTTCTAGGTGTTAGTGCATCTTCATGAATGGCAAACGCCAAGGAGTATTTGAGTAAATCGCTTACTCGTTAACAAGCAGCATGTAGCTTTACCTTTAATTAAATCCCTTCACTTCATTAGTTCACAACAGCTATTGAATGTTTAAAAGATTTCCCTTCCTGCTTGCTTTATTCCTTCAGTGCTGGGGATTGAGCTCAGGCCTCATGCACACTGGCCAGTGCTCTGCCTCTGAACTGTCCCCAGCCCTCATCTCAAATAAAAGAGACAAGCGTGCTGAAAGATGGCTCAGTGGTAAGGAGAACTGCTGCTCTTGAGAGGACCCAGCTTTGGTCCTTAGCACCCACACATTGGTTCACCACCATCCATAGCTCCCCCAGGAGATCTGATGTCCTCTTCTGACCTCCACAGGGACACACATGATACACGTGACACGCATGATACCTGCAGGCAAATCACTCTGATGAGTTAGAATCACGTCCACTCTTTTGTTTTTTCAACTTGATCCTTTGCTTCTGTGTTTTGGCTCCAAGTACTCAACAGGAGTAGGGTCAGAAGTCGGAGAAGGGACTAGGCAGGACTAGCTCCTGCATGGTATAGCAGTGACCCTCCTAGGACCTATTGTCTACACTGGGCGCCTCATTTGTATGCTCTAGAGCCAAGGGCCTTTGCTGTGAGTCCACCCTATGAGTTTCTCTGTGAGTCCATCCTATGGGTTTCTCTGTGAGCCCATCCTATGGTTTCTCTGTGAGCCCATCCTCTGGTTTCCCTGTGAGCCCATCCTCTGGTTTCTCTGTAATCCCATCCTATGGTTTCCCTGTGAGTCCATCCTATGGTTTCTCTGTGAGTCCATCCTATGGGTTTCCCTGTGAGTCCATCCTATGGTTTCTCTGTGAGTCCATCCTCTGGTTTCTCTGTGAGCCCATCCTCTGGTTTCTCTGTGAGCCCATCCTCTGGTTTCTCTGTGAGTCCATCCTATGGTTTCTCTGTGAG